CGCCAGAGGGACACGCTGAGGCAGGAGGCACAGGGTCCCCTGTGGAGCCAGCAGGCAAAGGGTGCGGTAGAGGTGGGTTCTGCCCCCATGTAGCCCACAAAGGACCACAAGACTGGGCCTCCAGGCCACCCTCACCTGCAGGCTTGCTGGCGTCACCATCCCCCCAGTCCCAGGCTGCACAGGGGCTGACTTGGGCCTGTCCTGCCCTCCCTCCATCTCCCCAGCTGTTCCAGGTGGGGGGTGGTATGGAAGGGACGGGCCAGCCCCGGCCCTCTCTCCAGGGAGAGGTTCCCTGAGGTCTTTCCCTACTTTGTAGGGCTGCTACTGGGGGTACCACCCCAGCCCCTGGGCAGGAAGCTCAGAGAACCCCAGGGACCTTCCTTTACCGGAAGGGTCTAAGCATCTTCTCTCTGCAAAACCCAAGCTCACCACCCTGGTGCATAGCAGAGGCCTGGGGTCGTGTGGTTTTAGAGGAGGGTCTCTGCGGACCAAGAGGAGCATGTCCTTGTGCACATGGGCCCTGCCTGTTGCCACCTGCCTATGTGCGGTCAGCAGCCACGGTCCAGCTCGGAGTGCACAGCCACAGGGCCTGCCGGGGCAAGGACAGAGGGGCCCATTCCTCTGGGCCCCTCCCGAGCGCTCCAGGCCTCCCTGGCCTGGGCTCCTCAGTGGTGCAGGGAGGAGGACTGTGGGGTTAGCAATCTGAGCCCTGAACTTTTGTGGGTCCCAAACCACATAGCCACTCCCTCTGGGGTCCCTGCCCCTGCTAATGAGGGTGGGGGGGTCCAAGGCCAGCTGGGTGGGTGTGCCCCTGCCGAGGCCCAGTGGGCAGGTCAGGGCACAGAAGGACAGGGGAGGAATCGGGTCCGGGCCCCCAGAAAGTACCTGGAGCCCTTGGGAAGAGGGAGGTTGAGGAAGACCCCTGGTGGGGAGGTCCCACCCAATGACCAGGGTCCTGGCAGAGGAGGCCCCAGAAGGGGCAGACCTCTCTTCTTCTCCCCCAACACCAGGCAGGGGGTCTTGGTAGAGGAGAGGCTGGCCCTGCCCACCCAGAAGACCCAACCAGGCCTTGGCCTGGCCTTGACTTCGGGAATCGCCATGAAGGGCCGAGGGTGGGAGACAGCTGGGTGGTCTTTTCTGGGAGGATGAGCAGAAGCGACCGGCTTGGGTGGGACTGCTTGAACGTCCTTCCTAACCAATGCTTCTCGGGCACAAATCCAGCTTCCACGTGGTCTGGCGAAGCAGTGGGTGGTGTCTGGCAGCGACGTGGGAGATCATTTCCCGATGACATCACGGCGAGTGTTTTCTCTTTGATGCAAACCACACTCTTCACTTGGCTTCAGAACAGCTTAAGCGAGCGAACAAAGACTAGGAGGGAGACGGGGACTGTCTGAGCAGGCGGGCGGGGCGTCTTAGGATCTGTAGTCCTTTTTGCTGTAGGGTTTATTGCCCAAAATACTATCGATCTCGTGGATAATGGAAGACGACAGTTTTGGAAGGACCTGTGTGCAAGGACAAAACGAATCAGAACTCTCCACCAAGGTCGCCTGGCTGGTGGGGGGGGTGGGGTGACGTCACTCCAGACCTGCTGCTGGCCGGGACCGTCCCCACCCGTCACATCTGGCTCCATCCAAAGCAGACGGAGGCCATGCTGCTTTGCCTTCCCAAATCTGGCCCCACTGAGCAGGTAGAGAGGAGGCGTCTTTGAAAGCTTTGTTGGACCAAGCCTCTCCTCAGCTCCAAATTGTGCCCGGCTCCCATCCCACTCGGAGGAAACATGCCCGTCCCTGCCCTTCGGGATCTGCCCCTGCCCGGGCCTTGGCAGTAGCTGCTGCTGCCGGAGCCTCCCCCACCTGGCGTGTGCACAGCTCACTCCACAGCTCCCCGAGCCTTTGCTCAAACGCCACGTTCTCAACAAGCCCAGCTGACAGCTCCCCTTAAACCTGGGTCCCTGGCGCCACCTCCTCCTGCCCCCAGCTCCCTTTCTCATCTCCCCATCTCTGGCGTTTTTCCTCTAGAGCTTGTCACCTTCCAATGCCTGCTTCAATTTCCTTCCTCCCAGCATCCAGTGTACACCTGTCCCTGCTGGAAAGCGAGCTCTCCAGGAGCAGGGCCCCCTGATGGTTCGTGGGTGTGTCCTGGCCGTCTAGACGGTGCCTGGCACGCAGGACGAAGGCCCGGCTGGGTGGGAGCTCTGCGCAGCCCGCATGCTCACCTGAATCGCTCCCACGTTCTCCATGAGCTGGTCGGCGTTGGAGGCGCCCAGAAGCACGGAGCTGACGCCCTCGTTCCGCAGGCACCAGGCTGGGGCAGCAAGACCCGAGGTGAGGGCGGCGCCCTCCGCAAGGCCCTGTATGCCCCCCACTGGGCTGGAGACACCCAGCCTCTGGGTTCAGGGGGCCTGAGACGCTCAGCAGTGCTGGGGGGCTTTGCCCAAGGAGTGGCTGGAGTGGGTGCTGGGGGAGCCCTGGCCCACTGCCCTGGGTGTAGAGGTGGCCCGGGGGCTCAGGCCCCCATCCTCTCCCCATGAAGGTGGGGACCCCATTACCCATGGCTGGCTGATGGGGGGTGGCCAAGGCCCTCAGGGACCCCCATCATCTCCCCAAGGACATTGTCCCAACCCTGCCCCCAGAGCCCTGTTGCCCGTGGCCAGCAGGGATACTGTTCAGGGCTCCCTCACCTTTCTCCCCAGGGACGCTGGCCCCATGGTGACCCCGGCCCCATTCCCCATGGCCAGCCCAGGCCTTCGGGGACCCTGCCACCTCCCCGGCACACGAGCCCTCACCTATGGCCAGTTGGGGCAGGGTGCAGCCCAGGCGCTCGGCGATGGCCTGCAGCTCCTTCAGCTTCGCCTGCTGGCGCCGGCCCTCCTCGCTCAGGATCTTGTCCTTCAGCCACTGGTAGCCCTGGGTGGGGCAAAGCACAGCTCCAGGTGAGGGCAGGTCACCTGGACCCCGCGTGCAGGTGGCTGACAATCTGTGTTCCTTTCAGATCCTTCTCCCAACAGCGGCCCTGGTCTGGAAGCCAGGGCGGCAGCCTGCCCCAGGCCAGCCGTGCAGGGTGGGCAGGAGAACGGCCCTGTCCACTCTCAAGTGCAGTCCGCGGGTGCTGACCCGCCGCTGAGCCAGGTAGAGGCGGTGAGCGCTGCCCTTCCCTTCTCCCAGGGAGCCTGGCGGCCGGGGAGACTGGCTGCTGCCTGTGGCCCAGAGGAACCCTCCCCTGGCCCTAGAGGGGTGCTGCCGCCCCTGGCCACACCCCAGGACTGCGGTGCCTCCTGGAGGGCGCCCTGCCCTGCCCTTGCTGTGCGCCGGGAGGAGGGGTGGGCCAGGCCATGCTGCCCGGGATCCCAGGACCAGGTCCAGGGCTGGGTCTGTCCTGCTGGGCAGGCCTTTCTCTGCCTGCTCCGTGTCCCCAAGCCCTGCAGTCTGGGACCCTCCAGAGGTATGTGTGGGGGAGCGGTCACTTGTCCCAGGGTCACCGCTATGTAGCTCTGAAGCCCCCGAGGTCTCAGTGACAGCAGAGAGTGGGCAAGTATGTGGGATGGGGGTACCCCAAATGGCACCTGTGGACCCAGCCCACGATGTGCATACTGGGGTGGGGGCAGAGGTGGGGGTATAAGAAGGGGCCCCCTATCTGGGGTGCCAGGTCCCATGGAGTGGGCGGCCCCTCTGGGTGTGGGGTCAGGCCAGAAGGGGCTCCATGTTCTCATGCCACGGAACCCCAGGCGGAGGCGGCAAAGGCAGCTGTGGCCCAGGGAAGCCCCTGCCCAGCACCAAGCAGTCGGCCCAAAGGTCCCCCTGTCCCCCCAGATGCCTGTCCTCTGCCCATCCCCTCCCCCTCCCTGGCCACTCCCTCACCTTCAAGGAGGCTCTCGAGTAGGGTGGGATGCCGCTGTCATACTTCCCGGAAACGATGCCGCAGGCCAGAGGGGACCAGGTCATGGCGCCCACGCCTAGAGAGGAACACCCCACGGTCAAGGCCTGGGCCACGGGGGCGGGGCGGGGCGGGCAGGCGGCACCCACCTATCTTGTGGAACAGCTCGGGCAGCTGCACTTCCACCTTCTCGCGCTGGAACATGTGGTACTCGGCCTGCTCGCAGATGGGCGGGATCAGGTTGAACTGCCGGGCCACGGAGTAGGCCTCCTGCGGGGGAAAAGGGGCCCAGATGGCCCCTGCTGGTCAGTGGCCCTGGGGAGCTGCAGGGCAGCAGGTGACAGGACACAAAGGCACCTCTGGGACATGGCTGGCCTGGCCCCTGGGACCCTCCCACTCCCCTGCACACAGCTTTCCTGGGAGCCAGCAAGGCCCAGGTGAGCTGGGAACAGGGGGTGCGTGGTGGGACCCCAAGGCTGAGGGTCTGGGGAAGCGCAGTGCAGCAGTGAGGCTGGGGTCTGGCACTGACTGGCTGAGTGGCCTTGGCTATGTTACTTAACCTCTCTGTGCACAGTGTCCACATCTGGAAAACAGGACGACAGCAGCACTACCTCACGAGGCATCGAGAGGATTAAATGGGACTTAGTCCCCACGAAGCCCTCAGATCTAACAGCACCTGGAACACCGCGCGCACCCGGACGGTAATGGTGTCCTCGCTGCCGAGGGCTTCCCGAGCTCCGGGACCTCTGCTGAGAGCTTCCCCCCGGTTCTCTCAGAGAATCCTCAGAGCAGCCCCATGAGGGATCGTGCTGGCAGGCTTGTTCTACAGGAGGGAAACTGAGGCTCAGAGAGGTCAAGCCATCTGTCCGGGACCACGTGGTGCCGGGATCCACGCCAAGACCCTGGTCTGCGAGGCCTACAGTCACAACCGCCGCACTCCCGCATGCGGTCTCTGCTCAGGACCCCGTTATCTGTGCAGTCGGGGCCGCAGGCTCAGACTCTGCCAGGCCCTGGGGTCTCACGTGGCCGGGGCGAGCAGCCCACACCGGCGCATGCGCACACAGCGGCCCGTACCATGATCTCCATGGAGCTCCAGCGCGATGTGCCCCAGTACATGGCCATCCCCTGGTTGATGACGTGCGTCATGGCTCGTACGGTCTCTGTCACGAGAGAAGAAGCTGCAGGTGGGGGGCGTCCGAGGCACGGGGCCCAGCCTGGGGACTTGCTGCAAATACAGGCAGGACGCCGGGAGTGGGGAGAGGAGGCTGCAAGACGTCTTGCAAGCAGTGTACTTCCTGGCTCGGAACTTGGCGTGGGAGGGGTTTTCCGGGATGGAAGGGAAAAGCGAGCCGCAATCCAAGAAGGTGGTCTTGAAAACACTCTCCCCAGCTAGTTACAGGCCTTGCAGAATCCTTGAAAAATGGGTTATGGGTGGACTGTGATGAAGGCAAGTTGACATCAAAGACTGTGACTCTGACTCTGGAACTGGGGGGAAGAACCGGGGACCCCGACACTCAGGAAGGACCAGGTGAGTGGATTAAGGCTGCAGTTAAACTGGCAGAGGCAACAGGAAGGAAACGTGTTTTGCCTGTTTTCAGGTCTCCTGCTTCGGGCCGTTCCACACCCTCACCGGACGTGGGAACCCGGTGGAGAGGGAGTGACGGCATCTGGAGGGGCGGAGGCGGGCTGCGGGCTGCGCTCCTCTCGTGCCCAGGAGGGCCGGCGCAGGCACGGACAGCCTTGTGTGGACCATGGCCTGCGTTCTCAAACCAGTCCCCCTTCCCTGGCACGGGACGGTCCCAGGGTGACAGGGGGACTGGCTGCTCTTCCTCTAAGGGGCCAAGGCCCAGGGCAGACAGCTGTGAGGAACAGCCTGGACCCTGGACAGCTGAGACTCACAATGCCCCAAGAACTAAATCACTGACACCCCATGACATCTTTTAAATAACAGAAACCCTTGCACCAATTACATGACAGATTCTTCCGAGTATTCAACAAAGTCTCTGAGACATAACAATCTGCCAGCTATAGCCCCTCCCTCCGCTGTTTCAGCCTCATGGGAGTGATGGGGTTTTAAAAACAGAACTTGGCCTCAGATTCTCAAATTTCAAATGCCTCTCAGCTTTGCGGGGTGAGGGACAGTCCCACCAGAATCTCACGGTCGATACAGTGCTTGCAAGTTCAACTGCCACGGCAGTGTTGGCAGTAAAGTGGAGGAGCAAGTGTTTCTAAAAACAGTGCAGTAACATTGACCCTTGAAAATCCCCATCTCTCCCCAAGCGCCCTGCCCCTCATTTGTCACTGAGATGGGAAGCTGAGGTCCCTGAAGATGGCTGGGGGTGGGAGGGATGGGAAGGAACTTGGAGAATGCTGGGTTTGTTTTGAAATTTCCAGTGCAGAATGGCAGCAAGGCCACAGGCCCCTTCTCCGCGCCGAGTGGCAGTGCTGGCTTCCCGCCCACCTGTTTTGGGGTGTCAGTTCTGATCCTTCGCAGGTCCCTGAGTGCCCCGTTGGCTGAGGTCCAGCCTGAGTGGGACCCAAGGCATCCTGAGGGCTGGAGCTAAGGGCAGCGGGGCTTCCTGGTGGTGGCCTGAGCAGGCTCTCCCAGGACGCTGGAAAGGCCACCTCGGCTTCCACGCCTGCAACCAGCCCTGGCCTCTGTGGCTCCCGGGAATCCTCCCTGCCCCCATGCATGGGTGGAGATCTGGGAGGGAGTCTGAACCTCTCTGGGGACACCTCCCTGGGCCGCCTGCTCCAACTGCCAGCACTGATATACCTTGAGGAGGAGGCCAGTGCCTGGCTGGGAAGGTCCGAGGAGCACCTATAGGGTCCCAGGGGAATCCCTGACCCCATCCTAATCCCGGGCCGGGCTCCTGACCCGGGCGGTGGTCCTCGTTCAGTTGTTTTAGAAACACTCTTGGGGCGCCTGTGGCCATGCAGCACACCTTCCCGGTGCTTCTCAGCCAAGGCACAGGTCCACATGCCAGAGAGAGGGAAGCAGAGGCCCCCAAGGCCACCCGCTCCCTCACCCTCCCCCCACCCCACAGCTCTCTGGGTCATGAAGATCCCAGCCGGGGAGACTGTGTGGTGTCCTGTGTGCCCCTTCCATGCAGTGATGGCGCCACGGCCGGCGGTTCGGGGTCAGCTTGAGCCTCTGGCTGTCTGCAGGGGGAGGGGCCCAGGCAAAGGGTCCCGGGCAGAGGCAGGCCGGATGTAGGGCCCCATGCAGGGGCGCGCTGCACCTCTGCCCAGGCCTGATGTTGGTGGCCCCAGACACAGGAACAGTTAGGGACAACTGTCCTTTGCCTCAATATTTAATGCTGCTGAACAGAAGCAGGAGGACCGAATCCTTCCAGCTGCTGCCAAAACCCATGGCATCTCCTGCTGCGTCACAAATAATACATGGGAGGGGTCGGGTGGCAGCACCAGCTGGCAGGCAGGAGCCCTTCCATCAGCGCTGTCCCAGGGAGACTGTGCTGGCCCTTGGGGTGGGGTCCTGGGGCCCTTAGCCAAGGGGAGGGCAGAGAGACCACGCACAGCCAGAGGCTGCCTCCAGTCTCAGAATCCTGCCAGCTCCTGCAGTTGTTCTTTTAGGGGGAAAATGACTTCATTTTGATGGAGAGGTCTGGCCACACAGAGGGGAAATGACCCACATGCTGTGGATGGTGGCCGTGCTGGCCGGGAGGAGGAGCTAAGACCTGCTGGGGGCTGAATGTTCTGGAGTCCCCGACAGGTGCGCTCCTGCAGAAACCTGGTCTCCCAACCCTTCCCAGGGCACCTTCATGGGTCAAGTTTCCAGGCGGGATCACAGCATCCTCCGACGCCAGCCGGCCACTGTGGGTCACAGCAATGCAAGCCCAGGGGTGGGGACCATGCACAGACGGAAAGGGATGAAATGACAGCATGGATCACGTGGGGACAAGGGGCTCCCGCACCACTGGGTTTTCCTTCCCTTGCAGGGTGTTCTCACAGGGAGCTCCCCGCCTTGTGCATTTTATGGAGAAGTTTGTCACGGGGCGAAAGAGTCGTGTAAGTTAAAACCACTGTCTCATAAAATGCAGCTGGGACGCAGAAGTCAGTAGCTGGGCTAAGGGTGCTGTGTACCTTCTATGATGAATGTCCTTGACTTGGAGGAACTAAATGGGTCCCCTGGTGACAAAAGAAAGATTTAAAGAGACCAGAGTTTACAGCTGTGGGACGCCGAGAGGTGTGGCGTGACAAGGCGTGGGAAGGAGGCGAGAGCCACTTTGCATGGAATATCTGTTAAGTTAGAAAGAAATATATATACACACGTGTGCGGTATATATAAAAACAAATGAAGAAAAAATAACTTAAACACAACTTAATTTTCCAAGTCCCTGGAGCAGCGAAGCGCGAACGAGCAATGCCCGTAGCGGGAGCGGGGTGTGCTGAGATCGCGGGAGTCCAAAGAATAAAAACGCCAAAGAAACCAAAACTGCCCTCGGAAGCACTGAACATTTTTCTCCTCTACGTAGAAATTTATCCCCTAGAGCGACAAAGACCCCTGAAACCTCTCAGTGGAACGTGACTGAAAAGACCGCGGCGGCGGCAGAGTCATCGCACGGCGCCCTCCTCTAGCTACAGCACATGCAGCCGGAGCGGACAGCCGGAGGGGACAGCAGGCTGCCGGGTGCCAAGCGTGGGAGGCGGCGCGGGCTGGCGGGTCAGGCGAGGGCCTGGAGCGAGGTGGGGTGCGGGGATGGCACGCAGAGGCCGAGCTCCCCCAGCACGGGGAAGGCCTGACTCCTTGTGTCCCTTGGGGCCTGGCCTCCTGTGATCACCCACCTGGGTGCCCAGCGGGGCCATGCCGGTGGCCACCGGAGCCTCAGGTTCAGACCCTTCATGGACCTGGCTCTGTCCTTCGAACCCGCCCAGGCCCCACCAGCCAGTGCTTCGCAGACCACCTACCTTCCATAGGTGTGTTGGGGTCCGGGCGGTTGGCAAAGACCACGTCCACATACTCCAACTGCAGCCGCTCCAGGGAAGCCTTCAGACCTGGGGAAGGACAGGGAGAGGCCGTCACTGCTGCCAACACATCTTCATAAACATTTCTGGGCCTTCCCTGTGCCCGGCTCGGGGGACAAGAGAAGGGAGGGAAGAAGCCCTGGCACCGGGGAGCTCCAGGATGGCTGGTGGCGCTTGTGAGCGTGCGGTCCCTCCCCTCAGGAGGACGTATGTGGGAACCACAGGCCAAATGTCCTGTGGCTGAGTGAAGGGGGATTCCCCCCAGGGAGCACAGCCTGCCTGGGGCCACCCTGTGGCCTCCTGGTGATCCGTGTAGCAAGCAGGAGAGCTACGTTATCACACGTGAAGGGAGGGCTATTCCTGTCGTCTGTCCCGTGAAAGGCCAATAGTGTCTAAAACGCACAAACGGCCACCTAGTACTTAGAACAGCCCAGGACAAATAGTCGACAGAGTGGGAGGTGGTCCCCTAATTGATTTTCAATAGACTGATGTTATTTTGAAGACAATACTCGTGACTAGGAAAGACATGAAGACGATAAAATGCAAGAAAAGCCGGGCGCGCAGCTGTCCCCCCGGGGTCCTCCCGGGTGTGGTGCCCGGGCTGTGTGCACGGCTTCTCCCGGCTTCTTCTGGATTCCTGGCAACCCCGCGGGGCGGTGCTCTTAGCTTACAGGTGCGGGTGCCGCGGCAGAGGCTTGGGGAAGGGATGCGCACTACTTGGGAGGCTGGATCGACACCCAGGCTGTCTGTGTCCAGCCACAGTGCCGCCCTCATTCCTTGCAAGGTCCCGCTGGTGGCCAGGGCTGGGCCCTCTGCTGTGTGACTGGTGGGGTGGCACAGAGCCCATCCTCACCTTCTATTATGTGCTTCCTGGAAAGGCCCCTCTCGGTCTCCGCTCTGAAAGACAGGTGACGGCCGGCGATATTGCAAGTGGTTTTGGGGAAAATGTTTATGACGCAACATTAGGCAGGAGAAGCAGGTCAGCAAACGCCGTGTGTGGTCTGAGGCCACTTTGGGGGAAAGCAACGGAGCCACAGGGCTGAGTCCCCCGGGCCAGACGGAGCCCGGACGCACTTGGGTGCCGCTGGGGGTGGCGGATGGGGGCTTTTGTTTTTCAACTTTACCCTTCGGCTTGGTTTGGACTTTTAAAATTAAAAAAAATTAATAATGAATTTTATTTATAATTCCTATGAGCCCATATTTGTCCAGCCCTGGAGAGAGTACGGAAGACACCTGGACACCTGCAGGGTGACCGGTGGCCCAGAGAATTTGGAGTGGTTTGGACAGTTCACACATTTTCTGTGTTTTCGAGACTTTTTTTGTTACCTTTGCAATCAGGGAAAAAAACCCCACATAAGTAAAAATAAAAATTAAACGAGGTTTGAGTAAAAGGCAAACTCAGCCAAGCTGCTTTTCTGGATTTGGTGTCCCTTAACAGGGACGGCACCAACGCTGCCTGGGGTGGAAGGAGAGGGTCAGAGCAGCGCACTGGGGACAGGGGACAGAGATGGCACTGGGCCCGGGTCCTGTCCGCCGGGCCTGTCCAGGACGGACCCTGGCGCACCCTCCCTTCTGAATGGCAACTGTCCTCCCCCCACTCCCAGGAGCCTCCTAAGTCAGGGGTTTCCAAAGAGCACGGGGCTGCTGGACCCCGGGCCGGATGCATGGCCTGTGGCTGCACCTACTTTCCTCCCCAGAAGATCTTGGTGGTGATGACGAGGCTGGACCGTCTGCGGAACAGAAGAGAAGGAGGGTGGTATTGGGCCCAGCCCCTTAACGGTCCTCCCTCATCCCCGATGTCCCCACCTCTCATGCAGGGGTCCTAAAAACCTTCCCACCCAGGAGCCCGGGGCATGAAGTGGGCAATTCTCCGTCGTCTGATGCGCACCCCATGCCAAGCCTGGGCCGGGAGGCAGCCCAGTGATGCAACCGAGGCAGCAGCCATGGAGGCGGGGCCGCGGGGCCGCGGGGCCAGAGCGCAAAGGGGAGACAAACTGGCCCAGGATTCGGGAGGGTCCAGGCTTAGGGGCTGGGAGGGCCTCGTGGCTTTGGTCAGGGTGGAGGGAGCAGCAAGAGCCAAGCCCAAGGGGGCCAGGCATGGGCCGGAGGGTGGACCGGGCTTTGGTGGGACCTAGCAGGGGCCGGGGATGCAAAGGGGCAGGGGTGCCAAGTCGGGGCAGTCCCCTGCAGGAGGGGACAGGTGTCTCAGAGGATCTGTGTGGGGGATGTGGGGGCTGGTGGTGAGCCCAGTAGCCCCGAGGAGGGTGGGGACCGCTGCCTGGGAGAGGAAGGGGGGAGGCTCCAGGTCTGCCACCCCTGTGCTCCACCACCTCCCGGGGCCAACCCCGAGGGACACATGCAGCTGAGGTCTATGCCGCAGAGCTGCTGCTTCCTGGGTGACTACGATGCGTCTGGCCCTGAGCTGGGCAGGTGATTTATAGACTCGGGGACACCAACCCTCAGGACAGCCCTCCTAGGAGGTCTGACACTTGTCCCCTTACAGACAAGGACAGTGAGCTCCGGAGGGGCTGAGACACTCGCTAAGGTCCTGTGAACAGGGCACACTCCACTCTCAGGCACCCTGGCTCCTCTGGCCCTAAATGCTCCAGCCACGGGGCAGAAGGACCTTGCACCCCGACCTCGCAGCAGCACCCCCTGCCGTACCCAGGGCATTCAGGGAGTTCTCACTTTCGGCTCTTTTTGGCCTGGGACTTTGCAGTGGGGCCCTGGCCCTCTGAATCCCTGGGGATGGGCTTGGACAAGGGTGGGAGGGGCAGAGGTGGGGTGGGGGCAGGCAACACGGGTAACACAGCCAGCCTCCCCATGGCTTTCTCAAGCAGTAGCCTCCTGCTCTCAGGGAACAGAATTTTCCTCTCCACGTCCCAGCAAGAACAAGCTTAGAACTTGCAGGCCGTAGCAAGACTGCACCCGGGGCTGCCGAGACCGAACCCGGGACCTCTGCTGGTCAGCAGCAAAGACCAGCCTCAAACAGAGCAGTTACCTCCAGCCCTTCTTCTTGATGACGTTCCCTAGAACCACTTCGGCCCTGCGAGAGAGAGACACGGAGTTTTGTCACAGCAGAACAGAAAAGTCAAACCCAGCCCCACCGTGACAGTCGGCCTCCTGGTCCCCTCTGTGAAAAGGCCACCGGGGCCAGAGAGCCAGGCTGTTCACGCCCGCTCTGGCTCGGCAGCTCCTTCCAGACGGGGCGAGGCCTGGGGCGGCCGAGGGGCTGGGGGTGGCCGCGGGTGCGCACGGAGAGAAGGAAGCAGCTGTCGTCCTGCGTGGCACGGCCAGCATCCCACCTCCCAGGGCAGCTGAAAATTCACTGGGGAAAATGCCTGGCAAAGTCAGGTGGGTGAAATTTCCAGACAAGTGTCTTTTTTAAAAGGTAAATTATTCATCACACACATTCTCTGTTTTCAGACCATAAACCGACCATCCTGTTTCCAGCAGAGCATGTGCATGCATGTATACATGTGTGTGCGTGCACCTGTGTGCATACGTGTGTGTGCGCACATGTCCCTCTCGTTTCCTGCTTTTGAACAGCAGAGACAGATGCTATGCTGCTCTGCTTGGCATCACTCCGGGTCCTGCACCAAACGTGGGCTAGCCGGGGGCACGAGTGGGCCGTTCCAGCCTTGCTTGGCACTGCCAGGCTGAATTAAACTTTTTAAAACTTTCTGCTTGTAGCAAAATGTTTCTGAGTGAAAACAACAGACGGAGAATGATCCATACCCTGTGCTACATTCCAATTATAAAAGCGCCTGAGTCATCCACTCAGAAATAATGGGCCCTGATTTGCAAGCTGTTCGGCACACATTCTGAGTGTTCCTCGTTTATGGTCAAGATGCACAGAAAACCCACTCAGACCTGGGCCTCTTCCTTTCATTCCCTGGTCCTGGATCTGTCAGACAAAGGACCAGGAGAGGAGAAGAAGAGAAGAGCCAGCAGTGGCCCTGGGGCCACAGGGGCTGCAGACAGTGGGTTAACCAAAGCCTGTTGCTTGTGGCCCTGGCGGTGAATTCGGTGAGACTTGTACCTGTCCAGGGGGACAGAGAAATCCCACAGCTGTCTGGGAAGCGTGCAAACTACTGCCAGCGGGAGAAGCCTCCGCACCATATGCCCCGGCCACCCTGGTCATCGAGGGGGCTGCCCTGGCCCCATGCCCAGAGCAGCTTCATCCTGCTGCCCCCGTAGGCAGTGCCCAGCTTCCCCGGGAGGCGGCTGCGGGGCGAGGCATTAACAGGGGTGCGCAGGCAGGCTCAGCTCTGGGCAGGACGGGGAGGGCCGCAGTGGCTGGTGGAAGAGCAGAGGGCAGGGGCTCCCGCAGCAACAGCCTCCTGAGGGGAAGCTGCCCGCCGAGTTCTTGGCTTCCGAGAGGCGAGGAGCCAGTGTGCTTGCCCTGCATGCCAGCTCTGGTGACCGGTTAAGCAGGACTCAGAGACAGCAACACAGCGCAAAGCAGCTCTTGTGACACACTGTGCTGGGCCCTGTCCACGGGGCTGCAGGGAGCCGCCTCCCAAAACGCCCGCGGGCAGCCAAACCCAGGCTGAAGTGGGGCAGGGAAGGCGCTAGGGGCTCCGGGCGGGCGGTGCCCCTAAGCTCAGCATGTGCACAGGACTTTTTGACCTCTGACCCTTCAACTTGGCTCATCTGCCTTTCTGGAAAGCATTTCACTTCAGTGGGAAGCTGCTGCCAGTTTGGAGGCCACGGGAGGGGCGGTACCATCAGGAGAGGCAGAGGGGCTGCTGCTGCGGGCTGGAGGGCTTTGGGGGTCCCAGCAGAGGCCTCCTGGGCTGGCTGCTCCCCACGCTCTGGGTTGGGACTTGAGCAAAGGCCCAGCTAGGTTGGTTCCCTGATGCGTGGCACTCTGGGCCCACTGTGGGCTGCAGGTAACAGCCTGGAGCCCCCCGCAGCGGGTGCTGGCCCTGCAGCCGCGGTGCATGGCGGGCCAGGCTGCAGCCAGCCCAGCTGGCAGGAACTTGGCTCGCCCCAGGCAGGAGGGGGCCAGAAGGAGGACAGAGAGAGAGCCAACAAATGACTTCACAAACAAAAGCTGACTTTTGGAAACCCAATGCAGGAGAGTGGATGATTTGATTACAGCCCGTCTTTAAAATTGAAGCCAACAGTGCTGGCTGAGGAGGGCCGAGCTTCTGCATAATTGAGCAGGAAAGTTCACTGCCAAGATGGGAAGCGCTCCCGGCAGTGCTTGGGCAGGGCCTGCTCCCTGCGGCCCTAACCGCACCAGCAAGACGGGACAACGGCAGGCGTCGAGGGCCGGTGCAGGTCACCGGCACGTGAAGGGGACCCAGGACAACAGCTTCGTCACACTCTTGCCCAGTACAGCATCTGTGGCACCAGGGGGACTCTGGTCACCCCAGGGCTCGGGCACACGGGGAGTTTGGCGAGTGACCAACATCCACCTGTCTGGGACTCTAGCCCCAAGCAAACGACACCTCCCAAAGCCATTCAGAGTTCTAAAACGAAGGCGGAATGGAAAGTGCATTTGGGAGCCCTCTCGGGAATGCGAGTGGTGGGACACCAGGAGCGCTGGCCTTCCCCGGGGGTTCTGCACCCCTTTTTCCCCCAAGAAAAGACACGTACTTGCCGGCCGCGTAGACTTCTGCAGTATCGAAGAGGTTGATGCCGTTGTCGTAGGCCAAGGTCATCAGCTGCTCCGCCATCTGAAACGAGAGCACCAGTGCTGTCCTGCCACTGGGGGGCCCAGGGGCTCCCCCTCTCAGCCTGGGAGGCCCCCCTCGTGCCGGGCCCTGCGCCTGGGGCCTGACAGGCTCCTCCCGGCTCTGCTGTGCCCGCTCCTGCTGCAGGACGGGGAGGGAGGCGCTCTCGGTAACAGATCAGCGAGAAGAACAAAGAAGGCAAAATGAATGAAGAAACAGTCCACAGACTGTGAACTTCTTAAGGGCCGAGACCCCCATCAGTTGGGGACCTCACAGGATTTAGCCCCTTTCCTGGGTTGGTGTCCCCCCAAAATTCATGTCCACCCAGAACGTCAGAATGTGATCTTATTTGGACCTTTGCGAATTAGTTGGAATTAGTTGAGATGAGGTCATTCTGCATTAGGGTCTGACCCTAAATCCTTATAAGGACATGACTGATGTAAGAAGAGAAGACAGTCACAGAGAAGTCCCGGTGTCAAGGGCAGCAGAGGCTGCAGTGACGTGTCTGCGAGGCAAGGACCACTGGCAGCCACCGGGGAGAGGCATGAGACCTTCTCCCTCAGAGCCTCTCTGGGGAGCGTGGCTCCGCTGACCACCTGACTTCAGACCTCTGGCCTCCAGCACTGTGGGAGAATAAATTCCTGTTGTTTTAAGCCACCCAAGTTGTGGCACTTAGTTATGGCGGCCCGAGGAAGCCGGCATGGCCACTGGAGGGGCTGGACAGACCCCGGCAGAGCGACCAAAGCCACAGCTGTGCGCTCGGCTGTGCCTTGCTGCGTCCTTCCTGCAACGGCACCGAGACCACAGTATTATTTTCTGTGGATGGAGAAACTGACGTGCCGCATAGACAGACCAGCTCGCACGCGGCGGGGCGGAGGGCCGTCTGGCTTTGCTGGCGTCCCTCCAGCGCCCAGGGCTCCAGCCCTGTTGGAGGCGCTGTGGTGGCGGCTGCCACTGTAAACACTGCCCAAGGGCCAGACTTGTTCCCGGGCTGCCGCCGGGCGTGCTGTGCTCCAGGAGCCAAGAAGGAGCTACTGGTCGTGGGGCTGAGGACCGAGGAGCCCGGGGTGCCCACCTGCAAGCATGACAGCTCCCGCCAAGAGGCAAGAGAAGAAGGCGTCCCCAAATGCTTCTGTCCCCAAGTGTCACACTGCTGTAAGCTCAGCGCAGAGCACTAGGCCTCCCTCCCCGGTGAGCCCAGGGCGGAATGGAAACTCCATCTGACTCTCCAGAACCGCAGGACACAGGCAGCTGGTGCGGCCTCGCCCACCTTCCCCGGTACTGAGCCCGGAAGCCCAGAGCCCAGGCAGGTGTAGAGAGTGAGGACAGTGTCCTGTGGGGACCTGTGGGGTGGGCGCCCAATTGGTGCCTGTGGGAAGGGGGCCAGGTGCTACCAGATGCCCCAATTTTTTAAGAGAAGCCAGAAATCCAGGGTGTTTGGGGGGTGGGGTACGGAGACTCCCAGCCTAGTCAGCACTAATCCCCAGACATTCCGGACACCGCAGCCGCAGCCCGGGGCTAAGCCCCGTGAGTCAGTGGCTGTAGTTTGAGTTGGGAAGCCCAGGGGGAGGCTGGAGCTTGAGTGCATGGTCTCAAACACACGGGCGCTGCCGTGCGCCCCTGAGCCGCCTCCCCCTGGATGCTCCCGCCCTACCCTGGCACCTCTTCCCGGCCAAGGCTCCAGCACGCGCGGCCTGTTCACTGCCTCATCCCAGTCCGTCCTGAGTCAGGGACCCAGACCCATCCCCCAGCAGGGCCTGAGTGAGGCCCAGGAGGGCACGGTGGCCCAGGGCGCATGTTTCTCCTGCAGGGCATCTGAGAGGAGCATGCTACAGGTATTCTTTTGCACTTTGATTTTTTTTTTTTTTGCTTATAATACATTCTGGAAACTGATCAATGCCAGCTTATGGAGATCTCCTTCAATTTCTTTAAGTTAAATAAATTTACTGTATTTATTAAAAATTTTAAAGTTATGGTAAAATATACATAACAAGAAAGCACATTTACATTGCTGTGCAGCCCTCACCACCCTTCACCTCTGGAACTTCTTCATCTTCCAAAACGGAAACTCTGTCCCCGTCAAACACTAACTCCCCGCTCCCTCCCCGACCCTGGCACCCGCCATTCTACTTTTTTGTCTCTATGAATTTGGCTACTCCAGGGACCTCATGTAAGTGGAGTCATACGACATGTGATTGGCTTATTTCACGGGACACAATGTCCTCAAGGTCCGTCTGTGTGTGGTAGCGTGTGTGGGAATTTCCAGGGCTGGGTTTTGAAGGGAGTTTAGGAGTTTGCTGGGCAGGCAAGGGGAGAGTGGGTGGGGAGGGGGTGCTGCGGTGTCTGCTTCCTCAAGGTCCTGCCCACCCAGTGCTCAGGTCAAGGCCCTGGGCGCCCTCCTTGACTCGCCTTCCTCTCACGCTAGTGTGAGACTTCAGCTCCCACTGTCAGCTTCCTCCCGCAGACAGACTCCGGCTCTGACCGCTCGCCCACTTCCACTGTGCCCACCCTGCTCCAAGCCCCCAGCCGCTCTCAGCTGGCTTCTTGCAGTTGCCCCCTAACTCTCCCTGCTCCTGCCCCTGCCCCACCAGGCAGAGCCTGGTCCGTCACCTGCGGCCTCAGCGCCAGAAACGCAGGCTGCTCGGCTCCACCCAGACCTGCCACACCCAGGTCTGTATTTTAGGCAGATCCCCAGGGATCTGCATTAAACTTTGACAAGCCCCACTTCACCGGCTATTCCTGGCGCAGCCAGACCAGCCTTTGAAGTCCTTAAGGCAGGTTGAATTACCTCTCTGCTAAAACCCTCCCGTTTTAGCAGATGATCATCCCACAGATGATCAAAGCCAAAGTCCCTGCCAGATCTGTACCTTGACCCCTGACCCTATCTCCTGAACCCCCTTGTTCCCCCAACACTCAGCCTTAGGGCTCCACCTTTGCTGCCTCCTTGCCCCCGGAATGCTCCTCTCCTGCAGCACCCCATGGCTCACTTGCTCACCTGCCTCCTGGCTGCCCTGCAGCGACGGGAGCCCACACCCCAGCCCTCCCTTCTCTCTGCTCTATCGTCCTGTTCTCTGTGGTCAACTAAATAATGCACCCCAAATGTATAGGTCCCTGGAACCTGTGAATGTCACCTTAGCTAGAAAAAGGGACTTTGCAGGTGGAATTAAATTAAGGATCTTGAGATGGGGAGACTGCCCTGGATTACCTAAGTGGGCCCTAAATGCCAGCACGGGTGACCCTAGGAGAGGCAGACGGAGATTCGATACACACAGAGGAGGAGAAGGGAATGTGAGCACGGGGCCAGAGACAGGAGCGAGGCGTCCACAAGCCAAGGAACGCCAGCAGCCCCCAGAAGAGGCAGAGGCAGGAAGGATTCTGCCCCAGAGGGAGCGCACCTTGCTGACACCCCAATTTAGGCTCGGGGATTCTGATTTTGGCTTCTGGCCCCAAGAACTGTGGGAGGACACATTCCTATTGTTTGAAGCCACTCTGTTGGCGGCTAATTGTTACAGCAACCACAGGAAACTCATGCACTCTCCACCGCACGTTTAACCATCGGAGATGGTGACACACCTGCTTCCTCACCAGCCGTCCCCCTTGCTAGAAAGACAGTGGCCTGAAAGGGGCAGAAAGTGGGCACCTGGCAGGCGTTCAGCAAGCACGAGTCCAGTGGAGACACCTTCCAGCTGGCTCTGGTGGCCTCTGGATCGGCCACTCCCCCCTCCTCACTGCCCAACAGACTATGAACAAAGGTCTCAACAGCCCCGACTCCAGGGCACGACGCCCCTGAACACGCCTGGTTCCCTCCGCAGGAGGAAAGCCCGGGTACTTCGCAGAAACCTACGGCCACAGACCCCTGAAGGCTCGCCAAGCAGCAGGATTAGCACCGTGACACACAAGATGTCAGTCACAACCTCACCTGTCCCCGAGCACAAGGGAAGACCTAAGTACAATTCCAGTTACACCCAGGAGACACCTTGGATGGTTGGACACAAGAAAGACAATGAGGGAATCGGGGATTTTTAGGGCTGTGCTTTCTTAATATTTTTTATGGCTGAGATGTTAGAGTAATTCCTCCTGCAGGTTTCCGTGTGCATGCATGCCGTTTCCCTAGAAACTGCAACTCTATGTGCATAGACATGTGTGCTCTGTGTTTTCCACCTGCTTTCTCTCATGCTATTCTTCAAAACACGACCTCTGGAGACCTGTGCTCGTGGGGGGCGTCCTAGTCCATTTCACGGAGCCTATATCTTGTCACTTTTGGGTTCTTTCCAGTGTCAGCATACCAGAAATTAAAGTCAGAAGGACACTTAGGAGACATAGAGGCCGCCTCCCTGTCACCTCCACCCCAGGGACAAGGACTCCATGCCCACTCCAGGACGGCTACTCCAGGGCTGAGAGCTGGCCACAGGCTTTGAGGCAAAGAGCCCCAGGGGGAGCCCCCTTTACCACCCACATGTGACCTCTGGCACCTGCTTACACCCCAGAGGCTCAGCTTCCCTGAAATGGCGATACCACCTACCTCTGGGTTGTCAGAGATTAAATGAGATGATAAATGTAACGTTCTCAGCCACTACTCCTATTAAATTTTTATTGCCCTGCCTGTCTTGAACACATGCTTCCGACAGGGAGTTTTCTACCCGAGCTGCAGCGTCAGGTCACAGAGAGGGCACCTAACGGGACGGCTGGAAACCTGACCCTGACCGCGACAGCTCCTGCACGTGGCCGCGTGATCTTCGGTTTACTGACACTGTCTGCCTCCCTCCTCGACTTCTCGTGAGCATCAGCGGAGAAGGCGATGGCGTCCTATAAACTAGGGGCTCTGCACCGTGCCACGTGAGACTGGGTGCCACTCCCGCCCCACCGGGAAGTTCATCCCACTCCTGGGCAGGCTTGTGTTTTGCCCCTGCTGTGGCACAGAACAAGGCTGAGCTTCTGTCTGCACGACAGCCCTGCAGATACTGGCAGACAGCTGCCATGACCCCACAGAACGGGGACATCCAGCCTTTTTCTGTAAAGGGCCTGTGGCAAATACTTAGGCTTTGTGGGCCGCGGTCTCTGCCGCCGTCACTCAGCTCTGCCCTCGCGGGGTGGAAGCAGCCGCAGACAACGAGGAAATGGATGGGCGCGGCCGTGCGCCGATAAAACCTTCCTTGCAAAAATAGGCTGCGGAATTCACAGACAGGAAGGAGATCAGAAGGGCTGGGGAGTTATTGCTTAAGGGTGTGGAGCTTCTGTTTGGGGTGATGACAAATTTTGGAAACAGATAGTGGTGATGGTTGTAGGGCAAGGTGCACGTACTTAATGACACCGGCCTGCACACTTAAAAAAGGTTAAAACGGTAAATTTTTGGTTTCATATATTTAATAAAAAATTTAAAAACTAAAAAGAAAAGCAGCCCAGGATGGTTCTTGCTCCTTAGCTGGCTGAGACGGAGCAGGCAGCCAACCAAGGAATAAAACCCTCGGTGTTCTTCATCCGGGCTGCAGCCCGTGAGCCTGTCGCACCTGACATACTGATTTGTTTTTGACACTAACTGTAGGATTTAATGCAAAAATTCCCGCCCCTTCACTCAGCCATTTTTCACGTGCCACAACCTTCCAGAACCCTGACTCTTCGTCTGTTGTGTCCTGTGTCCTTCTGGCTTGGTGTCATCTAGAAATAACCTCCAACATCCTCATGCACGTCACTCTGTTCCTCGCGGAGATGCTGAGGGCCAGGGCCAGCTGGGGCTGCCACTGGATCTTAGGGTGTGACTGAGCTGTTGGTGACGGAGTCACCTAGTTGGATGTTTCTGCCCGTCTCTGTGTCTTTCCCATAAGGACATCACGTGCCATGTGGCTAATGCTATTTGGAAATGAAGTCACACTCCTCTACGGAATTCTTCCACCCGCTGCTTTAGCAATCACACTGAGAGGAAAACAAGGCTGACTCAGGCAGCCTTGGAGAGAACCACGTGGGCCCTACGGGTCCCACTGAACCAGTGTGGCGGGCTTAGGGAAGGCCATTCCCTTCACCTTAAAAACTCCTGACTTTACCTGAGACAGCCCGCACCTAGCAACCCCAAGGCAAGGGCAGAGGGTTCTATGACCAGCTACTGTCTCAGAAATGAAAATGACCCCAAACACAAACTGCATGCATTTACATTTTGATAGAAGCAAAGCTTTTCCTTGGAAAACAAACCAAGCAATCACAGCTAATGAGGTCTCGAGTCAGCTCACTTATTAATTTTTAAATGCGACCTTTCGCACAGTAAATAGGGCAAACGCGGAAACTGCTTCTTGTGCAGATGCCCAGAGCTCTCTGAGCAAACGCCACTGCTCTCATTTCCAAGACACGGCCTGGCTGTCCAGAGGGCGCACCAGGCCGGGAACATGCCATCCCACCCCTTCCGAGACCCAGGGGCGTCTCCTTGGCGTTCACCCCTGCACCCCGACTGACAGAAGCCCCGGCAGACACATTCGACTGCAATGGACACGACTCATGACAGTTGCTGGAAACGTAGTCAGGAGCTTGGTGAAATGTAAATGTGCTCAGATTCCCCAGCTTGCAGGAAAACTGCCGAAGCTGCTTTCTGAATGACCCCAACAGGCATGCGTTGAGGCTTCAAACTCACGTGGGTGGACTCCTTAGGGCAGCTGAGGTCTGCATCTGGCTGTACAGTTTGGAGAATGTGTGCTCTGCAGTCTGCTCAGCAGTGGGGTCGGTGTCACCCGTGGGAGTAATCTGAGCTCCAGGGAGCTTTAGGGACTTGCTGAGGCCCCAAGGCACCCAGCTCCTAGGTGGGGGCATCTTCTTTGGCCACTGCCGCTCAGCTTTCTGGTGTCCCACAGGGGCAGGGCCCCTCACAACACAGAAGGAGGGGGCTGCCACGCTGGCTCCCAGGAGCACATGCTCACTTTTAGGCAGCAGACTTAGCCACGTGCCCGGGAGAGCCCTCCCGGGGACCTGGGGTGTCGCGGGAACCCAGTCTTACCTCATCGGTGATCTGGCCTCCAAAGGTCACCCAGGTTCCTGGAAGGAGACACACAGGCTCAAGTCAGAGAACCTGGCAGGGGTCCAGATTCCTCCAGTGGGTGCCAGACCTCGGGCTGCAGGGCCCAGGGGGCAGCCACAGGTGGCCACGCTGTGCTGCTCTGTGGTGAGCGTGTCCTCGGTGTGTGTGGACACTTGGCCTTCAGGACAAGACTTGCTCTCTTGAGGCCATCAGAGTGAGGGGACAAAAGGCTCCAGAGCAGGCAGCCGGCTGCAGGCCCTGGAGGCTCGTCGTGACTTGTGCTGATGAGGCTCTTATTGCAGGGACATGCTGCAGGCGATAGCACGGGGGACGGCTCCCTGAAAACACGCAAGGTCTGACAGCCATGGCCTCGTGCTCCTGCGGGTACGAGGACAGGCGGGTGCGGGGGCAGGCAGGGCGGCACACTGTGTGCGGCACGGAGGTGGAGAACGGTGTGTTCCGGGAGGAGAGCTCGCATGTGGACAGAGAGGGGAGAGCACAGAACCTCATGGCCCTGCATGAGCGACTCCAGTTTTACAGGTCGGGGCAGGGGCTCGTGTGCAAAGGGCCCCACTGTTCCCCTCGCCTGCTCTGCCAAGGCTGTACCCCTGTCCCCTCTCTCCCCCAGTCCCCTCTCCTCTGCCTCTTTGTTGCCCTGGCAACTGAGACCCCAGAGTCCTAGGCTCTGGGTGCGGCTACCCCCTGGGGGGTGCTGAGGGTCAGGCCACCCACCTCCCTGGGGGGGCCCACTTCAGTCCGTGCCCGGCCCTCCTGCAGCCCTGCTTCCTCTGCTGGTGCTGCCCCGAGGGCGCCCCACACTCACCGAGCCCCAGGCAGGAGACCCGCAGGCCGGACTTGCCCAGGTTCCTGAAAAACAAACGTGGGTGAGTTCTCGGCCCCAGGCAGGCCCCACCAGCCAGCCCCCTCCCGCTCCCACCCGGTCCATATGTGTCCTGAGGCTCCAAAAGGCACCGGGGCCTTTGGAGAAAGGCTGTTGCTCCCTGGCCCCTGGGGGGAAGTGCCAACTGTCCCCTGGCCCACCCAGGGCATGGCCATGCTGCTGGTAGGGGCCCTGCTGGTGACCAACAAGGACAGATAAGAACGCATGGGACGCTGTCTTGTTTCACAGGCCGAAACGTGGCTGATTTCAGCCCTGTGGCGCCATCCACAGGATGTCCCCTCGCTGAGAAGTCTCCTCTCCCCTCTTTTCCAGAGGCCAGTGGTTCTGTCTGTCCACTCCTCTGTCTGAGGACAGGGAGAGGACATTCCCACTCAGCCTGGACCACACGGCCTGTGGATCCGCCCCTCTAGCGCGGGGGCCCCAGAGCCTGGCAGACACGCTCATAACAGGCTGCCCGGGGCTCCGTCACAGGGCCACTGAGGCGTCTGCCCCATGGTGGCTCCCCAGAGTCCACAGGAAGGGGCCTCAGGCTGTGTCATCAACATCCTTGGGAGGTGGTCAAGGACTGGCATGCCCGCCTGCCGGGGGCAGCAGCAGGCCTGGCAGTCGCAGGCATCTCGCACCAGACCCTCCCGCACCCCTGTGCACAGGCGCTGTGTGTGTCGCGATACTGTGATTCCCATGTCACGGAGGATCTGGGATCCCCCCCAGGTAGTTGGTTCCCGGCTCACGCGCCTCACGGAGGTGGCACCCACCCCGTCCTGTTTAGGGGGACCCAGGGCCAGATGGTACCCTGGGCCAGATGGTGTCAACTGCCCAGATGGTGCAGTTGACAAGTGGTGGGTCTCACAGCCACAGCCAGGTCCTGACCCACCTGGGGTCGGACTCCACTTCCCTTGCGGGATCCTGTGGGAGTCAGAAAGCCACGAGATGCCACAGGGAGAAGCCCAGCTCTTCACCCAAGGGCCCTGGCATTTCCCGGGGCTGCCACACTCCTAACCGCAGCCGACCCCACGCCCTCAGTTTACTCCCTTTCCTGTCCGAGCCTGGCCCCTGGGAGGGCGTCGTGGGGCTGGAGCCTGACTCTGACCCTCCACAGCCTCAGTTTCCCTGGTTACCAGACTCCTGGCCCTCACCTACATCACGAGTGAATACAGTACTTGTAAGCAGTCTGAAACAGGTGAACGTGTCACCCAATTGAAGGTAGTTTTAAATGACCTAGGTTTATTTTAAAATTTCCCATTAAAACCGGTCCAGCCACCAGCCTCCTGCTCTTTCGGGGCGGCTGGGATCCCCTAAGGGGGAACACACGAGCAGCTGGTGCCTCTTTCGGGAAGGGGAGGCTCAGGCCATGGCTGTGGGCAGAGGCTCTGAAGCCAGAGCTCAAATCCTGGTTTGACGTTCCTGGACAGATGACCCTGGCATTTTGTGTAACTGCCTGACACCTCCACATTCTCATCTGCAGAATGGGCTCACGATGCTGCCTTTCTCACCAGGCTGCCATGAGGATTAAATGAAAAGATGTCTGTTCCCAGGGCACAGGACATTGACTCACACGTGTCTTGTTAAAGGGGCAGGGCGGCCAAGGGAGACACAGCACGGGACGTGGCAGGGTGGATGCTTCTTTATACAGAAACAACAGTGGACAAACTGAGCAGGCTTTAACTACTACCGTGTCGAAAGGGAATGGAAGTTTCCTTTTGTTTTTCTTCCTCTCCTTATACATCAGTGAAATAATCTAACGGTACCCTCAGTATTGCTCACGTGCTGCCACCCAGAGCGACGTGTGCCTATGGCTGCTGGGAAGAAAGAGCCAGTTGTGTTACTTATAGATGCTGCATGAGCCAGGTCTGCTCAGTCGTTCAGGCAGTTTCCCAGGCGAGCTAGGAAGAAACTGGTGAGAGATTGCAAAGTTGCTTGGGAGGGTCCAGTCACGCAGTGAAGGGACCGAAGGCTCTGATCAGTGGCTCCCAGCGGCGCTGGGTCATCAACCCCTTGGAGAACTGCCCAAGGCCCCTCCCTGGAAATATGAGAGACGTGAATACCCTCGGGACTTTGTAACGTCTGGGCATTTGCAGACCCCGGACCCCACCGGGTGCCCAGAGGGAGGCGGGGCCCCCACCTCTGCAAACCACTTCCACGAGGGCCATGGGAGCAACGTCCTGACCCGGCGCTGTCGAAGGCCAGGTTTTAGGCTTATCCTGAAAATGTCCCTTTTGTCAGCGCAACGTGCTGCACGTTGAGGGATGGAGCAGTTCAGCAGCAGACAGGTGAGGACACCCAACCAGAGGCTGCGCACACCCACGTCGGGGTTAAAGAGCAGAGACACCTTTTCCCGCCAGTTTGCGGAGGGTTGGCCAAAGTGGCTCCTACTCCCTGGTCCTTATCTGTTCCCAGTTTGATCGGCATGAAACAGACCCGCTTTCCCGGACAGGCTCGGAGTTCTGTCCTGTGCCGGGGTGGGGACCCAGGACGTCTGGCTCTCCAGCCGCCTTCCCACCCACCAGCCACAGGAGTGATTTAACAAAACTAGGACACACACGATGCTGCAATTACCCTGCTCGACTTGTTTCCCTGTTACAGTGACGGTATTGGATCTGCCATCCGCTGCCAGGCCTCGGGAGAAGGAATGAGAAGGGACAGGGCACCTCCGGGCAGAAAGCTCTGCAAAGACGGCTGCTCAGCGGGGTGGGACACACTGCACGTTTCAGCTGGTCTGGCGGGGGCTGCTGACACGTGGCCACTCAAGACTTTCCAGACACGAAATCATTTCCTACAGATGTCTTCCCCCTAATTAAAACTTGACATAATGATAAAATCGCTGGTCCGAATCTCTAAACCCAAATACTGCTGGCTTCATTAATTGGCCTCATGTCTCTCTCATGGTCTGGAAAAATGGCTAATGAGGACACAGACGTAACCTTTGCCAGAAGAAAGCGCTAATGCCCATCACGCGGCCCCTGAACACGTCACACCCCTAAACACAGCACTTCAGACTTTGTGAAGCCGGAGCTGGGAGGCTCCAGGAAATTACGGACCCTTCTAAAAAGAGGAGTTCAGGGCCTTTCATTTCAGCCCTCTGGGCTGGGGACAAAATTTGATCGGGTGAAAGGAAGCACCATCCCCTTCGTTAGCTGGTCTGCGGAGTGCGGGAGACAGACGCTTCCTGGTAGCGTCTTGCTGCCCGTCTGCTATAATGCGCCGCCCAGTGCAGCTGCCCGTCCTGTTCCCAGACTCCAGGCTCCCTAAGGACGGGCCTGGGCTTCCATGTCTTTGTCTTCCACCTGGAGCTGGTAGTGGCAGGGTCCCAGCAGTGCTGTTTTGGGATGATGCTGGGGTATAATTTGGGGGTGAGAAGCCCAGGCCCTCGGGGCAGACCCTTGGGACTAAATGCTGGCTCTCCGCTTGCCTATCAGGCTTGGCCTCCTCCTACCCTGCACTGAGCACCTTCCTGGCCTCTGGCAAGAGCTCGGCACCTGCGGGCCGTGTCAGGTCGCTGGCAGCTGTGCCTGGACCATGCCGCTGGGGAGGGCCAGCTTTCTAGGGAGGTGATCAGAGTTGGGGGGAGGTGGGATCAGGTCCCACCCTCAGTCCCTGCAGCCCTCACGCTGCACCCAGCTGTGGCCCTGGGACAGTCGCAGTGGAGCAACTTGTGACAGGCCCCCCATGAGGCAGGATGGGACAGGTGCTCTGCATGGAGGCCTGATGGGTCACGCTTTGGGCTCCGAGTCCCGTTTCAGCCACTAAGAAACCACGCATCATCCTACAGAGATACGAACCTGCCTCCCTCCCCCGACAGCACCAAGGAAAGCTCCCTGGGCCTTTCCAGGTGTACGGCTTTGTGTGCTCCTCCCTCAGACAGGTGGGGGCCTGCAGTCGGGAAGTGCTGGGGCTGGGATTTGAATCCCGGTCCTCAGACTGCAAACCCACCCCCCCAAGGAACACTTCCCTTCACTGGCTGGCTCACCCTCCCTGTCTCCAGCGTGCACGTGTGTATGTGCACGTGTGTACATGCACACACATAAGCACACACAGGCACACATATGGTCACCGTGAGTGCTCATGCTCTTTGAGAGCTACTCCTCAGTGAGTCTTAGGAGGGAAACCGTGTTAATAGCCACAGTTTCCCTGTACATAGTACTTTATATGTTTAGAAATAGTCTCACTGTTATTAACTCCTTGGATGATCCTAGGATTGACTTAAAAGTTGCAGCAGGGGGCCGGGCGCGGTGGCTCACGCCTGTAATCCTAGCTCTCTGGGAGGCCGAGGTGGGCGGATTGTTTGAGCTCAGGAGTTCGAGACCAGCCTGAGCAAGAGCGAGACCCCGCCTCTACTAAAATTAGAAAGAAATTAATCGGCCAACTAAAAATATATATACAAAAAAATTAGCCGGGCATGGTGGCACATGCCTGTAGTTCCAGCTACTCGGGAGGCTGAGGCAGTAGGATTGCTTGAGCCCAGGAGTTTGAGGTTGCTGTGAGCTAGGCTGATGCCACGGCACTCACTCTAGCCCGGGCAAAAAGAGTGAGACTCTGTCTAAAAAAAAAAAAAAAAAAAAAAAAAAGTTGCAGCAGGTAACAGGTATCCAAACCAAAAAAAAAACAAAACAAAAAAACCCACGAGGGCTGTCTGGAAAGTATCCAGCCATTGTCAATACAACAAGAACAGTTGCCTGGCTGGATACTTTCCGGACAGGCTGTATATATATATATACATATATACACACACACATTCTGTTTACTCCTAGCTTTTGATGCCTACTTAACAAAAGACATAAACCCCCAGAACTTCTAGAGCAGAGCATTTCATTCTGCATTGTTCTCACTGAGCTTAATGGATGGGACCAAAAGTTTTTACCCCAGAGAGTCATTAAAGAATATTAAACTTCCCCAGGAAGGAAGGGATTTGAGCACAGAAGCAGGACCCCCGGATCCATTCCAGACTCATCTCCAGGAGGCAGCGGCT